TAGAGCTGAACATTGATTCAGATTACAGTGAACCCTCGACTTACAAACGGCTCTAGTTACAAACATGTCGACTTACAAACCGCTCTGATAGAAAAATATTGACTCGACTTGCCAACTTAGATTCGAGTTACAAACCGAAAAAAACCATGCGGGAGGTAGGGAAAGCGTTAAATTTGAACTTTCAGTTAACCAAGGTCTACCCGTATCACCTGCGTGAATCAGAAGGTGAGGCTGAGGAACCTGACACCAAGAGAGGCCCGGAAGAAAAAAACTAGAAACCGGGCCTTCTTGGCAGTGGCTCCTCGTCTCTGGAACAATCTCCCTCCGATGATTCATGCGGCCCCTTCGTTGGGTATCTTAAAAAACCAACTGAAAACATGGATGAACCGAAAAGGGGGGGGGAAAGCGGGAGAGGCATTCTGGCTTGCAAAGCCTGGGTCAATCAGCACAACATGCTTTAAAATATGCTTTAAAATTGGCTTCGTTGAAAAAAAAAAGATTTCAAAAGTGCTTTTAAAGCTATTCCCTGCCTCCCCACTCCTTTCCTGAACTTTTCTTGACCTAAGAAAAAAAGAAAAAAATGTTCCCCTCTAGTGGCAGAAGGTGGAATAGCAGCTTCCCATTAGTTTCTATGGACAGAAAAGAGCAGATATGGATTAAATGGTTTTCAATGCATTCCAATGGGAAATGCAGATTCGACCTACAAACTTTTCGACTTACAAACTGCCTTCCAATACGGATTAAGTTTGTAAGTCGAGACCCCACTGTATTACGAGCCTGAAATCTGAAATTCACTGAAAGTGCATCATAAGCAGCAAAACAAAAGCAGATATTCATATTTTTAATTTCACAAAATCATTACACTTTACCTACTACAAAATGGCAAAGCCAAAGCACAGAGAGCACGCATGCTGCACAGAAAAAAAACACATGTGGGTCAGACTAATTCTATTATTTCAGCACTCAAACAGCAGTCAGCCAGTTGCCTATGGAAGTCTAAAAGCAGACTCTCATAGACTCTTCTTCTATAAACATGTTTACATATACTGTACATATATATATAGAAACACACACATATAGTATCTAGCAGCCACCAATAGCGTCATCCATTATGGATTTCTCTAATCTCTCTTTATTTATTTATTTATTGGACTTATATACCGCCCATCCTAAGAAGGTGGGATTGTCTGGAGAAGGAAATAATGCTCGGGAAAATTGAAGGTAGCAGAAAAAGAGGAAGACCAACTATGAAACGGATTGACTCCCTAAAGGAAGCCACAGGCTTGAGCTGAGCAGGGCTACTGAGGGCAGAACATTCTGGAGATTTATGGCATCACCATAAATTGGGGGCGACTTGACAGCACATAACAGCAAACAACTATGTGTCCACTTACTCATCTTTTTTTCTAAGCTAAATAAGTAAAACTATTTTAACATTTCTTCATAACAAGAGTTGTTCCAGCCTCTTATCCTACAGGTCTCTTAAACTGTAACTATTCAGCCCTTAACACTCTAATCTCTTTAAAAGTCAAAATGAAAGAAACATTGAATAATATCACATGAAAACCATGGATTTCCTTCCACTCACATATTTGTCTCAGAGCCCTGCAAATGTATTTTCTGGTGTTTTAATCACAGAAATCAAACTATAGTTGATCTCAGAAGCATCATACTGCAATTGAAACTGGCAACAATGCAGTCCCAGAACACAAATCTAATGTATTCTCAACTTATTTACAGTTAACACCACTGAAAGATTTGGCCTCACAGAAGAGTCATATGCAACCCAATTACTGTCTGTACCTACAATGGAAAATTCATGTCATATTCAGCCTATTTTTTATTCTAAGTGTACAATTCCTCTTACAATTTATATATGCAATGCATTGATCAAGTATAAATTATTACTTTTCCAATCTAAAATATTACCAATGGTAGATGTACAACTCTTAAAATCCGTATTATACAGTAGCATAACAGAAGGACCAGCAAATTTTTTGAACATTTTTGCTTGACAATATGGGAAATTTTCATGAGTTAGTGAGGTAACTTAGTTTACAAGATTTTTGTACAATGAGAGTGTATAACTCTCACAGAACAACACACGAAACTGCAGTTAATCCAAGACTAGTATGAATTTCACTGGCAGACTGTATTACTCCTCCTCCTTATATTCCCCAAATCTGTTCTAGAAGATCTGTTCCAGAACAAATTCGAAAAACTATGGGGAGGGCTTCTGGAAAAGACAGGGAAACTGTATTCTACAAAAATTGTGCAAAGAAAATGGAAGGGGGAGTGATTCATGAGGGCAACTAACTGCACACATTGCAATATCTCTGCTTACTGAAAACATACCCAAGTTCCTTTACAGTTTCTGAGCCTTACAAATACGTCTATGCCACTGGGATTGTTCTCCACAGCCCGAAATTCTAAGAAGCTGGTTTTTTAAAAGGGAAGAAATTATCATTTCCTTTAAAGGAAGTAATCTAGAAATCAAGGAACAGCTAAAGTTGTACTCTGTTCTGCTATACCACCACTATTACAGATTTTAGCAGTTTTGTGTTGCACAGAACCAGAAAAGTTGATTTTCACCGTTCTCACAGGCACAGGGCTGTATTCTTCCACTGCATTTAAACTGTGACAAATTTCCCACTGTTTAATTTCCATTGCTGGAGAATTCTACAAGTTTGACAACTCTACAATCTCAAGTATTTACTATTTTGTCAACTTAATTCTGAGTATCAACAATAGGCATTTCAGCATCCTGATGTAACAGAATGCATCTTAGTCTGCAGAGAGGAGACTATCAGAGACTAAACACAATTAAAAGTCAACCCCAATCACAATGCTTAACGATTCTCTGAGTGACAGAAACTACTACTTTATGGATTCTCCTTGTCTTCTCGGTAGTTTCTGATATATTTGATCCTGGCATCTTATAATATTATACTGTATAATCTTAGAACTGCTGGGAGGGAAGCTATCTACCTGGAACAACTCAATTGGTTGGAACTACAGTGGTGCCTCACACAGCGAGGTTAATCTGTTCCGGATTAACCCTCGCTGTGTGAAAACATCGCTGTACAGGAAGGAAAAAGCCATTGGAATGCATTAAACTTAGTTTAATGCATTCCAATAGCAGCTTTACTCACCGTACAGCGATGCTTTTCCAATGGCCGGCAGCCATTTTCGCGCCCTCCCCTCGCTTAACGAGGGCGCGAAAACGCTGCGCGTGGCCATTTTGGGGCTTCCGGCAGCCATTTTGGACCCGCCAAACAGCTGATCGGCGGGGCGCAAAGCGAAGGTCGGTAAGCGAACCGCTTACTGACCTTTGCTCTGCAATTTTCGCCCCATGCAGGCATCGGTATGCGATCGCATTTGCGATCGCAAAACCGGCCTCGTAGAGCGAATTCATTGCTCTACGGTGCACTCGTTGTGCGAGGCACCACTGTATAGTGGTGCTACTCTGCTACCAGAGTCAAGTACCGAGAGATTCCTGCTAAGCTCCATGGATCATAATGCTGTAGGGTTCTACAAGGTTCCATCTTATCTCTGTAAAGTTCCATTTCACTTCTTAACATATAATCACAAATGCCTGTTTGGTCTTTAGATCTGGAGCGCAACACTATTATCTCGATAAAATTCGGCCTTCTCTCTCCATTCTGCTTGAATCAGGAGAGGATGTACCAGTGCTTGGAGGAATTGGTGGGCTAAAGTGGGGGGGGAATAAATTGGTCTTACACTCTGATATTGCAGACACTGTAAGAGTAGGCAGTTCTTAACTGTGAAAATTAGATAGAGGCCCAGATGAAACAGTGGAGAGCTTGTGGGCCAGCTATGGCTAGTTCACTACCCCCAGCCAATCCAGGACCATGATAACATGGCCACAATAGCCCATGATCTCATAAATTCATAGTCAGAGTGCTGTAATACTGTCTGTGGAGGAGGAGGCTCTTCTTACCTGGGGCTGCTGGTGGTGTAAAGTTCAGAATAAGCAGACAAGGGCAGTAAGATGAAAGGATATTACTATGATTGTGAAGTATATTCACTGGTTGCTACTAAGCAGAATTCAACTCTCTTAAAACAAGTATCCATAGCCTTAAGTAGCTCACAACCTAGGTATTTGAAGGCTTGCCCTCCCTAGTAGCAACCAAGCAAAATTTTAACAGAGCCTCGTGGCGCAATGGTTAACTGCTGTACTGCAGCCAAAACTGTGCTCTCGAGCTGGAGGTTCAATCCCAGGTAGCCCGGCTCAAGGTTGACTCAGCCTTCTATCCTTCCGAGGTCAGTAAAATGAGTATCCAGCTTGCTTGGGGGTGGGGGAGGGCAATGTGTAGCCTGCATAATTAACTTGTAAACCGCCCAGAGAGTGGTTGAAACACTATGGGACGGTATATAAGCAGCACGCTTTGCTTTTTGCTTTTTGCAAATATGCTCATGGCATTTGCAGCCCATGGGAAATATGGCCCATGTGGCTACCAACACTTCCAGTATATACTTGACACATCAAATCTACTAGAAATGGCTTTTGCATACAAGGACAGTATAGACTGCATACAGTGATCTCATACAACTATATATGGGTAAAGCCTGCAGCAGCAATTTCCCATATTATAAAGTTAAAAGGGTACACAGAAAAAATTAAGAAAATTAAGCCACTTGTATGCTGCAGTAAAACAATTGATTAACAAAATGCTTTTTTCAATGGGTGACTAATAAAAAGAGAAAAATGACTGCAGAACTAGACTGAATTTAGCACCTTTTATCTGATTTCTAAAAATTTTAAAGCAATGGTCAGAAAATTATTACTATTATTGTACACCTTGGCAAATGCTTTGAATTAACTTGTTCACATATTCCTCTGATTAAAACTTCAGTATTCTGCATTTTACACTTTTTAGCTTTAAATCATTAAGACTCTACTTCCATATTCTACTGATAAGATATCTGTAATGCCTTTCCCTCTTTAAAAGTAAGAATAAATGAGCATGAGATCTTACCATTTCCTTGTTTCCCGGTCTGATACAGGCACACATCTCAGGCCAGCTCCAACCACCATGAGGGATGATGTTAACAGCACAGTTACCCTGAGGCCTAAACAGGAAGAAGGGCAATTTTATTACAAGAGTAGACACAGTAGTACCGTGTTTCCCCGAAAATAAGACCGGGTCTTATATTAATTTTTGCTTCAAAAAAAGCATTAGGGCTTATTTTCAGGGGATGTTTCTTTTTTCATGTACAACAATCTACATTTATTCAAATACAGTCATGTCATCTTCTGGTTGCTGCACAATGGTGGAGGGCGAGGTTTCACTTAACTGGGGCTTATTTTTGAGGTAGGGCTTATATTACGAGCATCCTGAAAAATCATACTAGGGCTTATTCTCAGGTTAGGTCTTATTTTCAGGGAAACAGGATAGCAAAAAGACACAGAATTGAACAATTTATTCCGTTTAATGAAATACATTGAGTAGGACATAATAAAAACGTTATATATTTAAAATAATGTTAATATGTGTACACTAATCATTTGCAGTTCAACCCCCTCCCCCTGATAAACAGTCTGAGGAAAGAAAAAAATCTACTCTGGCCATGTCCTAATACTATACATGTCTGCTTTTTGTCAAAATAAAGAATCTAACTCCTTTCTTTCCAGCCCTTCCGCTGTAGATTCCAAAAAACCAGCTCCAGTGTGTTGGAAAATTCCCTGGAGTAGGGTTTTGGCACTACAAAGACTGACACCAAGACAGGATGAAAGCCCTGACTCTTCTGGTGTGGAAATACATTACTGGACAGAGAATTAGCCACTAGACTGAGAGATGCTTTAATTTACCTAAATTTCTAGCTAGTAATCTAATCTAGGCAGACTTCCTTGGCTCTCTTTGTACAAAAGAGACTATTCACATAAGTTCCCCTTGTACATAGAGAGCTGCTATTGAAGGGGAAATGGGAAGCAATGATAAGAGAAGGAAACCCATCACTAGTCCCAGATCTGCAAGAAACAACTTGCCAGATCAACTGGCAACTAAATTCCAGCGTCAATCCAATTTCTGAAATTTCGCAGAGGCAGTAAATGGATGCACCTTGCATTCTCTTCTAAAACAGTTTTTAAAAAATCTTTTCCTATATATTTCTTTTTAAACTGACACTCTCCATTTAATTCCGCAAAAAAATTGATTTTTGTTTTCCATTACTAGAGTTTGCTTACTTGTCAATAATGGGGGGGGGAGGGAAGAGAACTGCTGTGTTCAGGTCTAATTACCAGATGCTGAGTCTAGTGTATTAAAATACAAAATGTAATGATTTTCATGTCTTTTCTGAGTATCTGCTCTTGAAGAATAAGATGCTGTCAGAGAAACAACCCAAGTAAGACTGCTGTAATTTCAGTTTAATAAATATAGCAACATGCTTCTCGCAACAGAAACAGTTGTTGATTCTGAAAGCCGTTACGTTCCTCCCCCAGCTTTTAACCAACTCACACAGACATGTACCTCCCATTTGGTGTCCAGTGAGTAATCATACATATACATTAGGAAAGTGTACTTAAAAAGAAGCGATGTTAAGACTTCTTGCACAAGAAACCCAACTCCTCCTCCTCCTCCTCCTCCTCATCATCCACCATTCTAGCTCTCGCCTTCTCTTTTGAAAGGAACAGTCTTCATGTGTAGTAGCTGAATTTCTCCAGCAGGGTAACTCAGAATTCCTTGATCTTTTGTGCAGCTTAAAATTTTTGTCTTGGTCATAGAAATGGCATTACTTTAACACAGTGTTTCTCAGTCTTGGTTCTCCAGATGTTCTTAGACTAAAACTCCCAGAAGCCTTCACCACTAGCTGTGCCAGCCAGGATTGCTGCCAGGGCCGTATTAACCCATAGCCAGGCCCCTAGGCTTTCAGGTGTCCCAGGCTCCCTCTGGCACATCAATCTTTCACTCCACTACAGCAGACAGCCTGATCTTGGTATGGTAGGTTCTAGACCACAATACATAGCCCTATATCCATTTTGACGGTCTCCTGAAGAATTACTGTATATTCACAATTTAAAAATATTTTTATTGTGCAAGCAGAACCCTTCAGGAAAGCACAGACTGGGGGTATAATTGTTCAAAACTGTGATATTCAAAACTGTAAATAAACATTTTAGGATTTATTATTAAGATTTAGCAATTGCATAAAGGATTTAGCATTTATATTAATTGGATGTAGCAATTACATATTTAAATTTAGCAATTATATAAAGATAGCCAATGCATTTCATATGTACAGCAAAGTTCAGTATATAGTTGTCCCTCAATGAATCATGGTAAGACAGCCTTTGTGTGAGAAGCACAGAGACACACACCTTCCCTGCCTTTAGCAAACGCATGATAAAACAATAAAATACTCAGGCTTCTTCCTGAAGGAATGTCAAATGGGAAACCCTGAGAAAGGATTATCAAAAGAACTTCCTACAAAAGAAATGTCAAAGGAATACCAATTGAAACAGGGAACCTAGCAATTAAATTACAGTATTCTTTTTCTGGCCCTTTGTGTGGTTTCTATATAGCTATGTACTATCTTTGGTTCTGTAGACCAGAGGTCCCCAACCCCCAGTCCGCGGCCCAGTGCTGGTCCGTGGCCTGAGCTGGACCGGGCTGCAGAGTCATGTGCATGCATGCTCCAGCACACCCGTGCGAGCGCCACGCCACCATTTGTGCATGTGCGCAAGGGCGTGCCCAAGTGCCGCACCGCCATTTGCACATGCGTGCACGAGGGTGCCCCCACCTTCCCCAGCCGGTCTGTGGGGTGAAAAAGGTTGGAGACCCCTGCTGTAGACTATCTTAACATGTGTCGCTGTCATGTCCATGCCTGTCTCAATTGGTCAATATTGAATCATGCTTTCCTAAACCTTCATATATATAATATAAATGTTTTGGCTGGTCCCAATGGCCTGTAGGAACGTTCAAGCACAACACGCAATCAAAGTAACTACCAGACTGCATTGCTCATTGAGGTGTAATAAGGTAGGACAGGCAGCATCATGTCACAACCCTGACACTAGTGCACTCTTGGTCCACTGCCCCCCGCCGCCACTGTCTCAAAAGAAACATCAGCTGACTACTTTTAACATGGTTAGTGCTTGTTCAGCATGTGGCTATATGAAAAGGAATCGTAGGGATTCTCTTCATATATATATAGTTGATATTTAGATATGCTGATACGTTTATACACACACACACACACACACACACACACAGAGAGAGAGAGAGAGAGAGAGAGAGAGAGAGAGAGATTTACTGGTTTGTAGTCCCTATGGGACCCCTAGGCTTTAGTCTAGTCAGCCTTATGAATAGCATGGCCTTGATTTCTGAGAGTTATAGTCCAAAAATTTCTGGAGACCCAAGGTAGGGAACCACTGCTTTAGTAGATCCAGTGAACTGACTGTGTCTTGAGACAACCCTGATCCAATATAACTCATATACGAAGCTTCTAGGGATGAGAATTTTATTTTTCTTTTGACAACGGCTTAACAAAAGTTAACAATTTTCCTCATAACCATGATGGCAAGAACTTGTGTTCTGTTCTTTCCTATTAAATCTACCAGCATTAATCATTCCAAACCCAGTCTTGAGCAATTGAAATTGATGAGGTAAGAGTGAGAATTTGAATCCAGGCAGAGTAGATGCCATGGTAGCTGGAGTTCTCAGGTTAAAATGGACAAAATAGTGGGGAAACAAACTCATATTAGACCCTTCAAAAATATTCAAATGGTTCAGGCACTGAGGTGTGTTTTCTGTAATTTTTCACCACCCTAACTCAAAGATCTGATTCAGCATGCCTATCTGACTTACATTTACCACATAAAACTTTAAATATAAATCATATTGATTTTATATAAAACTCTGATAAGTTTTTCTAACAGCTAAAGGAATTTGAACTGAAACTATGTTGATTCAGAAAAGAAATTTAATATAGAGTTAATCATAACCTGAAAACACATTCAAAGCTTTAGTTGGAAAATAATTGCAACAGATCTAAATATTGTAATTTATGACTAGTTAAAAGAACAGTTTCTCTATATTATTTAAATTTTAGAGGAAAAATGAGTGCCCTAAAAAACTGACAGTATATGAACCGCAAAATGCTTGAAGTTCTAATTATTGCAACCGTATGCACTTCCTAGAAACAATCACTTTAAATTAAAATTAATTACAACAGTTGTTTTTAATTATCTCAAACACTCTGTGTGAAGCTGCCCCAGGGCACATTTTCAGAAACTGCAGCTAGTGTAAAATGTGGCACCCTCAATGACTCCTAGCATGCTTTCTGCTAACAGCAATACACCACTTCTGTACCAACAGCAATGGATCCCAATTTGCTTCTGGACTGAATTCACGATCCTGGTTCTTACCTATAAAAAACCATAGATCATTTAGGGCAGGAATATCTGAAATATATTCTTCTTTTGTATGGACTTAGCCGTACTCTAACATTTGTTTCAGATGTACTTCTTAACCATCAATGGCCAAGAATAGCTGGGCTGAAAGGAATGCAGTGACAGATGTTTTCTGTAACAGAACCTCCACTGTGGAATCCCTTCCATAGGATGTTCTATTTATTTATTTAAAGTATTTTACCCTAACTTTCTCCCAAAGCTTGTTTAGCCTGGCCCAGCGTTCCCTCTAAACCAATGGCCCCCAACCTTGGGCCTCCAGATGTTCCTAGACTTCAACTCCCAGAAATCCTGGCCAGCAGAGGTGGTGATAAAGGTTTCTGGGAGTTGTAGTCCAAGAACATCTGGAAGCCCAAGGTTGGGGACCACTGCTCTAAACTACACAGCTGGGCAGCTGCACAGTATTGCATCAGTGCTGCACCCCTGCAGCCAATGTTGCCACCCATTTGTTTCTGGTTGTGGCAGGAAGCCCGTGGGAGGGGTACACTGAACACCAGTGGTGGAAAATTAGAGGGAATGTTGCCATGACCTATTTTTGTTTAGTTTTAGGGAGCCTATTTAAAATATTTTGCTCTGTAAAGCTCACTACTTTTGTCCATGCGCTTGTAATCTCAAGACTAGACCATTGTAATGCACTCTACGTGGAGGTGCCTTTGAGATTGAC